TATCACCAGCTAACAAACAAAGCTTGATCACATTGATTGGAGAAAAGTTTTTGGGTTGATGCACCGTAGTGGACATCAAAAGTATATCATGGTATATAATTAAGATATCTTGCTAAAGAATAAAGTAAAGAATAAAATGATTTCCCTTCCTAGCTTTCATTCAAAGGCTGGCTGGGATAAAAGTAGACTTTTATTTCAAAACTAGTGATACTTTTCATGAGATATAGTACCTCATCAAAAGATGAGATTTCAATGCAAAAACACATTGTATAGCATACTTTGAATTGTCTTTCAGTGATGAGTAACTAAGGAACCCATGAAGAGTGCATCTACTGTCTCCTAAAGCAGTTGTTAGTCAAGTTTCATGGAGGGCCAGCTGTGGAGTCTTTCATCATATTTCATAGATCTACTCCCTCAATTGCTGCCAAACAAACCTCTATGATCATCTCTTCTTCTCCCACTCTTTTTTTTAATCCCAAACGTTTTCCTAGTAAATTTCATCTTTCGTATCTATGACAATTTGAATGTTATCAGATATAATATTCCACCCTAATTGCAAGCTTCTTTGTATTTTGATTAGTTCTTTTAAAAATAACCTTGAGTTGTATGTGTGTCCTTTCTTCATATCTTAGTTGAGAATCTCTCTTTTTCCTTCAATTCTCCCCTTTAAATATTATCTTTTGATGTCTTCTGGGTGGTTATGTTTAATCTCAGGATTAAGCAAAGGCCTATGGTTGTCTTGAACAGCTTATCAGTTTCCAAGAGACATTTACAAGGAGAGAAAGGCTCTGGTCTTGATAGCAGTAATTGTATTTAGCTTGTAAGATATAGGGCTATTTATCTCCTGCCTGTGAAATGGGGTGGGGGTAGGGGAGATGAATGGAGAACACTAGTGGTTAACATGCTAAATAAAAGTAAAAATGAAGCTGTGAAGAAAAGAAGAAACCTGCCCATTGTACTCCCAAGTGGGAAAATGATAAAAGAAATGGGCTTACATTGTAAAACTTAAAATTTAAATCTTTTGAGGAAGGAGATAAAAGAGGAAGGTGTGAGGCTAGCAATAGCAAGACAAGAAAGGAGACATCTGAAGGAAACTAGAATTTATTGTAGTACAAACTCTATAAATCTTGGGTGCTTGGTTTTTAGAAGCACATATACTCATTTCAGAGTTGAAGTGAGTCAATATGTAAGTGTTTGTTCCAGTGGTGGGTTTCAAATTTTTTTAGAACCTCTTCTGTAGGTGTGGCCTGCTTTGTGGGAGTGGCTTGCCAGCCATGTGACCAGTGGGAGTGGCTTGCCAGCCATGTGACTGAGTGGGAGTGGCTTGGCAGTCATGTGAAATGGCCAACTTGTAAAATGTGGTGAAACTCACTTAACAATGCTCTTGTTTAGCAACCAAAATTTTGGTTCAGAAACTCTGGCATTTGAAGCACACAAGTCTTAAAGCTGTCAAGTTACAAGACCCTTGAACCCCTAACCCTTTAGAAAAAAACCTAGGGGTGTTCAAACTTGACAGCTTTAAGACTTGTGGGCTTCAACTCCCAGAATTCCTTTTCTCACTCTTCATCTTGATGATGTGCAGACAGGCGGGGGGAGGGAGCTGGAACCGGTTCTAAACGGCACTGTAGATTTGTGGAACTTCTTCTATAGAAGAAGTTAGAACTGGCAGGAACCCCAGGTTTGTTCCCACTTTCTCTGGGGAATGAAAACTATTAGCTGCTAGAATGAAAATACTTTATGAACTTTATAATTATATCCCATACATCCCCCACCCCCCAAAAAACACAAGGCAGCATCTTTAACAAGGTTAAAGTTTCTCCTAACCTTTCAGTTATACTGTTTGCCAAAAATGTGCGAGATTATGCATCCATCACATTTAAGGCTACAATCTTAACAAAATTTGCTAGCAAACAAAGCAGGCTTATGCCATTGAATTTCTATCTGGATACGTTTGCATTAGATTATACTATAAAGTTCCCTTTTGACAACTCTGCGGTGGATTCTGTTTATGTGCTTGATCTGAGTAATCTTCATAATTAATTTCTGGAAGACACTTCCTACATAGCAGCAGTGATATATGTTTCCTCTGTAACTTATAGCTGGGTTCATCTTTATTTGATCTGATGATCATGTTAGAGACTATGTAGTCCTTCAAATGTTTTGGGAGGCAAAATTCCACAAGCAGCAGAAAACATGAGATATGAGAATTGTAATCCAATAGCATCTCAAAGACTACCAGATTTCCTATATCTAATTGATGCAATATAATATAATTTTCCCCATTGTTTTTTTTCAATCCTAGCATCATTGAGCATAGCAACATCAATGAACCAGGCTTTGTCCTTTTAGATCAGGAATGTTATAAACAAGAAGGCTGTCTGTTTGGATATTAAAGTCCCATGAGATCTTATCCTCTCATTTGTAAAACCTTCTCAACTTCATGGTCCCAGTAATTTTTACACATTCAAATCCAAACATCTGGCAAAGTTTCCAATGAATTATTTTGGCAACTTGGTCATGTTGATGCCTGTATTGCTGCAGTCACTGATTAAATGGTCAATTGTTTCATTCTTTTCAGTATAAAGGTGACATTTGTTGTTGCTTTCTACATGTCCAATTTTCACCATCATGTAATTAAGGGGCAAAAATTGCTTTGGAATAACTAAAATAAAGCTTTTAGTTTCTTTATGTAACTCCCCTGATCTTAACCAACTCCATATGGGTTTTAAGTCAGCTTTTTCCGTTCTACTCTTCAATTAACAAATCAGTTTCCAATTGTTTCTTTTCTGTATTCAACTTCTACCTTTATTTTTTTCAAGAGGTTTCTTTGAGCAACAACAGCAAGGGTTCTTGGCTTTTCGTAATGGAGTCACTCAGGCCATGTTTTTCTTTGTCCACAGTTTGTTTTACCTGTAGAAATTCTCTAACCCCTTCAGTTATTGGTAAATACAGATGATCAATATCACTTTTTGCATACGGAGTATGGTGCATTGTCATTAGTTTTCTTTTAATCCAAGTTACCAAGTTCCATCTGGGTCCAGTCAACTATTTCCGCTTTATATTGAACAACATGGACAGCCCAGGTTATTATTAAGGTATGTTACTATTACTAATTAACTGATCACAACATGTGCAGTCACAACTGCCAATTTGTTATTGGTATTGGCCTTCATAAACATTGAGTTCTTCCCAAGAATCCAGGATGTCATAATGTATTGTCGTGATTTATATGCAGATCCAAGAAGTGTGGCTTTTTGCAACTGACAGATGGAAATGTTGTTAACGTGAAGAATTTCTATGTGCCATACAATATTGTTTGGGTATGGGACCTAATGCATTGATAACCATTCAGATCACTGTGGCTGGTTAATAGCAATAGCACCTAGCCTTATATACAGTGATATATCACTGCTTCCTTCCTTCCATGTAGATGTAGTTCCATTAAGGACTACATGCTGAGTGTGATTTGTCAATGAGTAACAAGTACATCTAGTGATGATGTTGTCTATGCCACATTTTTAAGCTTATCAAGAAGTAGGTTTGTCAAATTCAGGACCCACTCTGAATTATTTCAATGGAGCTCAACTGAAACAAATATTCTGAAATGATTCCCTACCTGTTACTGACCAAAAGACCATAAATGAAATTATTGTTCAATGCAATTTTGCTATGAAAATAGAAACATAGCATATTGAATGTCTGCAAGATACTTTATCACTGTCTATTATCATGATCTTGTTCTCTGTCCTTTTTCCAAATTTGCAAAGTCCAGCTTAATATCCCCAAATGCCTTTGGCATACATATATACAAGAATAGAAAAAATATATCAATGATGGATTAAGGAAAATGGAACATTTCAAAGGTTAGATGGAATACTGAATTCATTCTTAGTGCAACCTATTAGAATGTATTCTGATTTTTACTCTTCCACTTTTCAATGAAAGGACATATCACATCCACAGCACAGTTCCTAGCTCATCTTTGTTAAATTTGAAGGAAGTGTCTGAAATAGCATAGATTGTCATCCCATAAATTGGATTATTTTTGTACTAACTTTTAGTTATCTTATTGTTTTCTATTTTAAATAGGTTTAGATAGGCTGCCTAACATATATCTTCATTTCCTGAAGTGGGTGAGATAATTAATTTTAACTGTTTTTTCATTGCTATGCTTTAATTAGAAGCACCTTAAGACTCTAAGGTATTTTTCAAACAACTGAAAAAATAAAATTATAGTTTAGTGATCAACTGCTGTCTAACCGCATCCATCTAGTGATATTACATATCAGACTTATGGACTTTTTAAAATAAAAATAAACATAAAACTACATTTGTTGCACTTACAGTAAATATAAATTTCTGTACATTCCTCGCTACTTCAAACAGTTTTTGTCAAAGCATCAGAAAGAAACTATTTGAAGAAATAAAGAAATGTACCAAAACCAGTATAAATATTTGTGATTCTAAATACTCATGATTGTTTTTGCTATGCATTACAGTCAATGAACTTAATTTTTCTTCAATTATATACCATTATTAATGACTAAGAAAAGCCACAGGTAGCAATTCTAATAGTGCCAAATAATTTTGACAGTAGTTTGCAGCAATGTGCATTAAACTGTTTTTTTTAGATCACCCATTAATCTACAGCAATATTTGAACACATGTAGATTATAGGTTGCATTTTTTTCATTCTCTGCAGAATCAGATTATATTCAATGGTGCATGTGATTTCTTCTTCATTACCTGCATCCAATATTTGTGCCACTCTTGTTCTCTAACAATTGACATTACAGAAAATATATTATTGATCAGCATGATGAATATGATCTAATAACTTCAGCTTTTTCTTAAAAAAAAAGATATTTAAGTCAGCTCTTCATTCTTGCAAGATGAGTTATAGAATGATTTCTTCAACAAATATATTTTACAGCTCCTACTTCAGGATCTAAGGATAATATTTTTTAAAGGCTGAAAGACATCTTTATTTAGAGATTTACCTGAAGGGTAATGTTCATTTACTGGCCATCCATCTACCTGTAGTGTTGCATTACCACCGTTTCGTGTAAAACGCACAACATGGTATTTGCCATCATTCACAGGAGTGCTCTCTTCTTTGATAGAGATATCTACTGTGCCAATATTGAAGACTACACCAATTTTGCCTTGTTCCTGTGAAGGAAAGAAAAGAGTTGTGGGTAAATTCTGGAAGCAAAGTCACAGGAAGAACAGTTGAAAGATGGACATGTTTCAATCAAAGTAATAAGATGAACATCCACAAAATGACAATGCAGGACAAATTTGTCTTTATAAGTCATATGATATAAGACTGATAAAAAGCATGGCAAAATAATATCTAAATCAAGTGAGGTGTGGTGGCTGAGTGTCTTAAGGATGCTGGATTTGTTGGCCAGAGAAAGTTGACTTTCTGCAATCTACAGTTCGAGCCTTGCCATGGCATGAAGGAATGGATTCCCGTCACTCGACTCAGTTTATGCCAACCTAGCAGTTTGGAAACATGTAAATAAATAAATAGGTACCATTCCAGTGGGATTAATGGCAGAAATAAGAATCCAACTGGCACTGGACAGGCCAAATGTGAGGCAAAAACTGGTGGGGGAAACCCCCAAATGACACTGACATTCCCACAGAACTTTGTTAGCTGCCCTGCATATGGAGCTAGTACACATACACACACAAATGGGATAGAGTGTGAATGTGTACTGAATGAACTACCAGTCTTAGACAGCCAAACTACTACTCTGTAATAACATTGTACACTTCTGCTTTTCATGTACCAATGTTATATGCTAAATAAATAAATGTAACCTACGTCAAGTGTACCCTAGACTCATTTATTTCTCTAATTCTTTTAAAATCTTATTTTACTCAAGACTGGCATCAGAAATTATAACAATATAACATTTAACATGAAAATGAGCATCTGCTTCTCATCTTAAACAAGGCAATATTGATCCCATCTGTACTTTTTATTCCATACAGTTACTTCAAAGCCTGAACAAAAATTGCACTTTGAAGAGCAATATTATAAAAGCCAATTTTACAGCCAGAATGACTTATATGTGGCCAATAAAAGAAAACTGAACACATAAGGTAAAAACGGAATGCATAAGATAAAGCACATAGAAGATGCCAGTTTCCTCGGACTGAATCCATCTGTCCTGCTGGTGTCCAATTAGCATTCTGATAAAGTTGCATCGTCACTTTAGAGTCATATCACAGTAATATTACCATACAAATGGATCAGGAAAAAACGAATATATTAACCAAACACTTCACATGAGTATCATCGAATAGTAACACATAAGCTTTCTATATGAACAAAACCTGGATTATTCCTGGCCTCTTTACTTACAAGTGATCAGATAAAAGATGATCAAAAAGATGATGGAATCCTGTGATCCCATTATATGGGCTGATTCTAATATATTTCTAATTATGTGAAAGGACAGGAATAAACATAGCAATGGTATATGCATTTTTTTTTTTTGCTGATTGACGTCACATGGGAAAAATACATTATATAACCTTTTTGATTTTTGTTCAATAACTTATATTGAAGTTTGCTGACAACATTATTGAATTTTCTTTGGATGGCCCATCATGGAATGGAAAAGAGGATGACATGGAAGTAGGTGAGTGTGATGTCAACTGACTCATGGAAAGAAAAGACTGAAAAGAGGAGAAAAGGAAAGAGAAAAAAGTGTTTGTGTGTGTATGTGTGTGTGTGAATAAACAAAGGTAGATAAAATATAGAAGAAGGGAAGATAAAACAAGTCAGAGGAACCAACAGTCACATCAATCCAGGACTAGGATAATTAGGCTGGCTGGATAAGAGCCAAGTAAAACTGACCATAGTGAAATGAACAACAGAGAGTGAATTCAAAACTCATCTTGGGACTATGTGAAAATATGAAATGATGGTGGCAGAAGATGAGTACAAACAATTATAGAAAAGATTATAAGGATTAAATTATCTGTTCTTAGAGCAGGAGTCAGAGAATTGAGAAGTATCCCTCAATGAATGAGACCCTCTCCTGTTCCTGGCGTAAATAGTGAAAGGAACATGAGGTGTGATTGTTTTATTACTAGAAGGTGCAACCGGGATGTGTGATTGTTGTATGAATATAGCTGAAAAGTGGGATTGGTTACATCAGATGCAATTGGACCATTACTATATGGAGATAGAAGAAGACCATCATTATATACTGCCACAGGTGAGTTAAGGATTCTCAATAGTTCTCTCTCTCTCTCTCTCTCTCTCTCTCTCTCTCACACACACACACACACACACACACACACACACACA